TTTTTTTTTTTTTTTTTTTTTTTTTTGTTTTTTTGGTTCACTGATCACCAAAAAAAATATATCGCAGTTCAAATATTCTTCGTTTTTTCTATTCTTTTTTAAAGAATAGTATGCAAAATAATTTCATTTTTTTTTAATTTACAGAAAGAAAAAAAATCTTTTGTTGGGAGGTTAATTTTTTATTTCAAAAGAATTTCGCAGCACAATTTTTTAATTAACAAAAATTGATAAATTATACTGCAGGAAGAGATACGAAATACCAACTGAAATATGAATATAATTTTATTGAGAAAAAAAATGAAGTAGAAAAAACCAGTATCTTTGAAAGTTTTATTGACTATATTGTAGAATTTCAATTTGTTGAATTTGTTTCAAACTAATTACAATAATAAAGAAAATTTGGTATCGATATTAAGGTGGCTTTCTTTGTCGGGGCATTGATTGTATGTGGGAAAATATTTGCTTATGTAAAGTGAGGATATAAATTTGGCCTATTTGAAGATTTGGTCAAAGGAGGATAGGTTAGTGCTTAGTATGATAGACATTTGTACTGACATCAGTTTGCAATCTATCAGTGGATAAGAAAACTTTTGTTGCAGTTCTTTAAAAATTTGACTAAATCGTTGTATTTTTGTAAAATTGGTGAAAAATCGGTGAATATACTGTTGAAGATTAGTAATAATGTGGATATGGAAGTTAAAATTCTGATGGTCTTTGATAAAAATAGTTTTTTTAACTGATAAACTGTAACTGCAGAGACAGCAATGCCACTAGATTCAATAAGATGAATCTGTCAGTCAATGCGTATCAACAAAGTATTCGCAATCAGTGTTTCTAATCTACCAAAATTCTTCTTCTTGTTTCTTACTGAGTTGACAAATTTTTTTGAAGAAGATACTCAAAAGGAAATGAAAAGTTTGAGTTAAAAAAAAAAGTGAAAAAATCAATTGAGTAAATAAAATAAATAAAAAATTTATTTCAAACAAATAAAGTGAACGGTAATTGGAAAAGAAATTGATTAAATTCAAAAATTTAACACATAATAAGTA